AAAGGAATGTCCAATGGATACAATCCATATTGACCATTTGGGTCCTTTTGTGAAGAGTAAGCACAAGAACACCCACCTAATATTAGCTGTGGACTCGTTTACTAAATTTGTATTTTTAAAACCTGTCCCAAATACTAAAACTGAACCTGTTATAAATTTTTTATCCGAAATTTTTGATAATTTTGGTGTCCCACGGCGAATTATTTCCGATCGAGGAACCTGTTACACCAGCAGTAAATACCTGGAATATTGTAAAAGTCTAGGCGTAAAGACTGTACATAATGCGACAGCTACACCCCGCGCAAACGGTCAAGCTGAACGATACAATCGCACAATTTTGGCAGCAATCACAGCCAGTACCGATGATGAAGAAAAATGGGACCAAATAGTGCCAAAAATCAGATGGGGTCTAAATACAACAGTCAATAAAGCAACTGGTTACTCTGCTTACAAACTTTTACTTGGATATGAACCCAGAAGCACATTTGATTCCTTCCTTAGTAATGAGATATCACCTGACACTACCCCTTGTCAATCTGATATAGAAAAACTAAGGGCTGATGCATCGCAGCACATTATAAAAGAACAGATCTCCCAAAAGCAACGATTTGACAAAACGCGTATAAAGGTTCCAGATTATAAAGTTGGTCAACTTGTATTAGTGAGGAAGGAGTATACCTCAAATTATGGCAAGAGCAAGAAATTGCTTCCTAAGTACGATGGACCATATACTATAACAGCTGTCCTTGATTTCGATCGGTTTGTTATAGAGGATATGAAGGGTAGTACTCGTTCTCAGAAGAGGTACAAGGGCGTGTGTGCTCCAGACAGAATGAAGCCCTACATAATGCGAGCTGAGTACGACGACTACGAGGACGTTAGTCAAGATAGCATGGCCGACTGAAAGACACTTTTAGAAACGCTATTATTGTTTGCCTTTTATGGTAAATAAAAGATAAGGAAGTTAGTCATCGCCAGCAGTGAGTGATTAACGGGGATAATATTCTTTAGGCCGGCATACGGCATTCAATTGTGAGACTTGATTAGACAAAGGTGAATTGTTAAGTAGTTTTGATTTGTAATAAATTTATAATTATTACTGAGTGCAGTTTCATTTAAAACGGACCTTTTACTACAGTCCACAAATTTAGATAAAGAAACGAAAAACTAACCTAGTTTTAAGTGAAATGGAAAAACAAAATTTGATGTAATCTTGGACAATGTAAGAGATTCAATCGAAGACTCATCTGTAAATAGACTTCATTTATTGACCAATAGAAATTTTATTTAATTTAAATTCCACTATTAGACATTCTAATGATGCAATTAGTGTAGATTCATGGGTGAATTAAATGAGTCAAGGCGAAAACAATTGGGTTTTGTTTTATAAATCCCAGGACAAATTATGTAATGAATATAGGAAATTAAAAAAAGAAGACTTCATTTTAATTATAATGAATTCAGCACAATATCATTTGTTAAAAAATATGATTCTGATTGTATCTGCTTAGTTGGTACTCATGGAGTAAATGGATATAACTTTGAATTAATTACCTTATTAATTATTGATATGAGGCAAGGTTTTCCATGATTGCTAGTCGAACAAATAAAAAGACTTTAAAGATATTCTTTGAATCGATAAAGAACTTTTCAGATCTTATTACTCCAAATTTTTTTTATGACAGACATGGCAGACTCATTTTAAAATGATTGGAGAGGGACAATGGATATACCAACTTTAAGGTAAGAATATTGGTAAGGACTATTACCTCTGATTTATTTTTGTTATTTGAAAGTTTTTACTTTGCCCAAATAGAAAGTTTTACAAAATAAAATCAGCATAGGTATGTTATCAGTTATCAGTAACGTTATTGTTACAGGATGTACTACAGGTAATGTAATTTTTACATTTAGACCTAACTTATTGAAACATCACTTTATTTTTTGTTAAAGGTGCTTGTTTATAAGTAAATTAGATGTCTTCTAGAAGAAAGAGATCTATTTGTTTTTGCTATAATGAAAGATGAACTATGCAAACAACTTTTAGCAGATCCTAACACTACAATATTTGCTGAGTATTTTAGTAATAATTATATGCAGAATTTTAAATCTTGTGCATATTACTATCGACTCCATTCTGGAATTAACACATTGTCATTTAGAAAGAATGCATAGGACTTTAAAATATCTATATTTAAAGGGAAAGCATAATAAAAGATTAGTTAAAGCAATTTGCGGTATAATGAAATTTATTCGTGATAGACTCTTCGATAAGTTAATCACTCATAAAGGAAAAGTTACAAGTAAATTGAAACAAATCCGGGACAGACACAAGGTAAGTCTTCAGTTAGATCCAGGTTCGGCAAATTCAACAGAAGATGGTTGGGAAATTATGTCATCTACAAGTAATAGTGAAGTTTATATCATTAAAAAAATAAAACAGTTGCACTTGTCAGCTAAAATGCAAAGAGTGTAACAACACGTCTTCATATATGTATTCTTATTCACATCCAGATTCCTGCATAAAATGGATAATGTGTAAGCATATTCACCACGTTTGCAGGATAGAAAATATGCATTTCAAAAAAGATTTTGTAGCTCCTGTTGAAAGTAATTTATTTTTTATTTATTTGTTTCACAAAAATATAACAGGTATATATATTTACTTGAATGCAGTTACATTATTTACGCCCAAATACTTTCTGCTGCTTTTAGCTGAACTCGAAGGTCAAGTCGGAGAGATTCATTCTTGCCAATTCGAGGCGACCGTCAATTTTTTACGCAAGCAGGGTAACAATTTTATTTTTCCTATTATACAAGATTAGTCTACTATATATTTTGATAACATAGTATTGTATTTTCCTTCTTCAGTTCAGGCAGGTAGGACTGCAAGGACAAATAGCTTATATCGTTTTGATATTGATCTGCAGTCTTATAATATTGGATGAATTGTATCATTATGTTATGTTTATGTTTTTTCAAGGTGGGTAGGTAGGTACGTAGGTATTCAACAAAATCACGTAATTAGGGGATTAATAACAGAAGCCCTTGCTGAAATAAAGGCAATAAAACAAAATATGCAATGCTGTAGAGCCTATACAAGTCACAAAATCGTTTTTTGAAAAATAAATTAATTTCCCTGTTGATGCTGATGATTTCAGTAATATGGTATTGAAAATACCAATGTGTATTATGAACACAGACAAATAGGTAATTTTTATTTCAGGTTCTGCAACTAGCTAAGATATGTGGGATTAACGGATATGATTACATCAAGAGAGTTTTACAACTAACTCTTTTCAATATTCAAGCGCTGAAATATAGCTGGTTGGGACGGAAGAAAGAAGAGTATTAAGGAAACTAACTTAGCAAAATTGATTTTGAGTAAGTGGTTTTAGTATATCGAAGATTTATACACAAATTGACCTGACAAAAATAAAACGAGCCACTATTATAATTTTATATTATTACTGTGAATTTCATTATTTTGATCCATCAGTTAAGATCCATTTTTAACGTTTTAAAATATTATTTATTCGATTGTAGGATCTGCAAAAGCAGCTAGTATCTCTGACAGCAACAAGAAGAGCGAAATTGCCATCCAAACCTGGTTCAGAAGAGCATCGTATAGAAGATTAAGCACTGATGGTAAAATTATATTTTTTTAACGAAATGTTTTAGTATTGTTTTGTTTTGTTAAAAATAATATTTATAGAAAATGTATCAGTTTTACTTTATATAGAAGGAATTTACAGAAGCTTTTAAAACTGAATGTCTTAAGAACCTTACCTTTTATAACATCAGATGTCTTTAAGACGTTTGACCGACGTCACGTCTTTTAGACGCCTATCATGTGAATGACAGATGTCTTAAAGATGTCTGTGCTGAATCTGGATTGTAATTGTGGAACCTGTTTTACCTTTAACTGGAACTGTCCAAAGATGTTTCGAATATCAATTTATTACAATACCAATATATAGATATCCATCATTTTTTTTAATACAAACTGATGTTCTCCACTTTTACGACGATAGAACTAGGTGGCAGAATGCATAATATCAATTTCGTGATAATTTCAAGACTGTCGATAACCTTATTAGGTATCGACTTCTTAGAGAAGGCTGGCATCATTCTAAACCTACCGCAGCGTTGCTGGAACTATGCGGATCAGCCCAATAGGTGATTCGAACAAAATTTCGAAGGAGAGTTAGAATGTTATAGAAATTATAGACAATATGTTTTTATTATCATTTTCATTACTAAATGAAATGAAATGAGCTTTAATTAATTGTTTATACACAATTCAAATCATGGGAATGTATTACTGAAGTTAGGGAGAAGTGCAATTATATTATTACCACTAGTAAAAAGACGTTAAATTCGGGAGACAAAATTTAGTATTTTAATTGTAATAGAGGTAAGCCTTGATTTTTTTTTTAAATTTTGTTGGAGAAAAAACTGGTCAACGTTAAGCATGCATTTTATCATTAATAATTTATTTTATATTCCAGCAAATGAAGCCTTCGGTGCAAAAACCAGGTAAGTCCATTATTTATCAATATTTACATTTAAGCATATTCTCGGACTTTATATTATTGCGAATCATTGGTTGGTAAAATCAGGTAAGTCCAACGCTTTAAATGGACAACAGAACGGATGATCACATACCTGATCGAGTATTGGTAGCAAGAATCAGGTAAGTCCAGGAGATACCTGGTTGTTGCACCGAACTCGTTATGGTGGTGGGGGACTTAACTGGGCGGCACCCGCCAAAGTACTGACAGTGGCACCTGGCACCGTTTAGTATGCAAGAAGTAGTGGTCTTAAGTAGGTGTTGAGCGGGTAATTTTTGGCGCGAAAATGTCGTCGTCAGAATCAGAACACTTTCACTCGTCAGGAAGCGAATATATACCGAGTGAAGAGGACAGACCTGGGCCCAGTGGGATTAATAACAGTTTTTTATTGGACTCTAAATCAAAAACCAAAAAGATCGTGAAAAAGAGAAGTAAAGATACTCCTCCTAAAAAAGGAAAAAAACGCACTCGCTGCCCAGAACAATGGCAAAGAAATATAAGAAAAAGTATGAAAGCAAAAGGAGAAATATATACGTAAGTTTCATTTTTATTCAACAAAACAGGCGTAAGAAAGTGCGTATGATCGGCCAAAGTGAAGCGATTAGCCGATTACGTATCTTTTTTGAAAGCAAATAAAATAGGTATTAATATTTTGTATTTATTGATTATTAAAGGTCTGCCAAAGGAACTGAAGTACCAGCAAGAACTATTGGAGAAAAATGTAAATGCAGATTGAAATGTTTCGAGCTCATTGGTGATGATACAATTCGAAGGGTTTTCAAAGAATTTAATAAAATTGGCGATAAGCAGAAGCAAGATATTTACTTGGCTGGATTGATTATTCCTCATAATGTTGCTAGAAAACGAAGCAGGGCTGAAACGGTAAAAGAAAAAAAAATTTCTTTTAAATATAAAGTAAGTCATTTATATACCTTAAGCATCTATTATAAGTTGTTATGCTATCCTTTTTTAGGTAAGGGTTAATGGACAAGAGTATCCAGTTTGCAAAAATGCAATGTGGGCTATACACGGTATAACAAAATTTAGAGTAGAAAACATTGCTAAATCCCTAAAATCCAATATTATGCCTCAACCGGACATGCGAGGAAGACATTTAAACAGGCCAAACAAGATCCCAGAAAATATTGTTAGAACTATAGACGATCATATAAGAAGTTTTCCCAGACGATCTTCCCATTATAGCAGGGAAAAAAACGATGGACGATACTACTTGCCGGCAGAGTTAAATGTTACTAAAATGTATAAATTATTTTTAGAAAAATATGAGCCCGAAATCTTTGCAGAAATGCAAGAAAGCAAACCACAGGTAACTTACGATTATTATCATCGTTACTTTTTACACAACTTTAATATAAGTTTTGGCTCACCAAGGTCTGATACGTGTCAAACATGTGACCGTCTACAAAACATGATCAATGCAGAGCAGGACATTGAAAATAAAGCCTCCTTGCGAGTTGAGAAAGAGGTACACATACGTAAATCTGAAGTGTTCTATACTTCATTAAAAGAAAAGTCAGCATTAGCCTTAAATGACCCCTCTGTTGAAGTGTTATGTTTTGACTATGAACAAAATTTGCCATTGCCCCACATTCCCGCTGGCGATGTCTTTTACAAGCGACAACTCTGGGTGTATAACTTTTGCGTACACTCTGCAAAAAGTGGAACTTCTGTTTTTTACATGTATGATGAAGTCACGTCGAAAAAGGGAAGTAATTAGCTTGTTGCATCATTATTTAAATACTTACCTGCCTGAGACTGTACAAACATTGTATCTATTTTCCGACAATGTCTTCGCCCAGAATAAGAACCAAACGTTAGTAAAATACATGTATACTCTGACGAACATAAACCAGAAGGGCATTCTGAATATTATCCACCAATATCCAGAACCAGGGCACAGCTTCCTGCCGTGTGACAGATCATTTGCATTGATCGAGAAAGCTAAAAGACGCAAAGAAAGGGTACATATTCCTGATGAGTGGAAAGATCTAGTACGTTCAACTTCAAAAAAGTTTAAAGTTATAGACGTCAATCAAGACATGATCATGGATTTTACAACATATTTAAAACCTTTTTTTAAAACTACTTTTATCAATAAAGAAAAAATTAAGTTTAGTATTTCTACGTACAGATTGTTTCGGTATCAGAAAAATATTAATTATGTTGAATGCAGCCGTTCTTCATCACTTCCAATGTTTACAAGATTTTACATCCAAAAAGAAAATGTGCCATTGTCTCTTCCAAATTCACGAATGATACAACCCTATCCTTTGCCTCTGAAGGAGAAAAAAGTTGCTGATGTTAAACTTCTATCATGCAAATACGTACCAGCTGCCGATCTCTGGTTTTATCGAATGATCTTTGGAGAAACCGAAAATAATGAAGTTATGAAAGAGGTTAACAATGCAGCTGAAGATGTTTATGACTCGGATTCTTCATTTATGTAATACACACGTCGATTTCAGGTTTAGTTTATAGTTAAGTTCTCTTAGTTTGTTCACGTTTTCTTAATAAAACTGTTTAAGCATTTTTTAGAGTTCTTTTTTGTACATGTTCGGGGCAACAACCAGGTAAGTCCAAATTTTCAAAAAAAAAATGGGGTAGTTCTGTATTTAATTTTCTTGGCAAAGCCTTGTTATTTTATTTTCATTAATTTTTTTAACAACCTCAAAAAAAAATGGTTTCTTTCCTTTCATTTCGAAATGAAATAATTAGTTTTTTTTAATTTCCCAACAATTTCGAAAATGTGACTTACCTGGTTATTGCACCGATGTCTTCAAATGTTAAATCTAGAAAAGAGGCTGCAATTAACAGAAAGCGAAATATAAAATCTCAAGGAACCTGTAAATGACACTACTTTTGTACCAGTAGGATAATTTTAAGAGAGCAAGATAATAAATTTATAATGAATAGGATAATAAGTCATTATGGTCATGAAAGTGAAATTCAACATTTAAGGATTAGTTCAATTGATAGACAAAATTTAGCTTCCAAGTTAGTGGAATTTCAGTAGAAAAGTAAGTTAAAATTAAACTAACGGAAAACATATATTTCTGTTTTTGTTTGACTTAATAATAAACAAATAATAGTTAATATGAAAGTGCATCAATAATTGTTTATCATTTAATTTTAAGATTATTGGATGATACAAGAAGTAAAATATAAATTTAAAGAGAACTGACATTTTAACCAGACAGGATTTAGTAAATATTAAAAGAAGTTACAATATACATCTTTAAGAAGGGGTAAAGCATAAAAATTATGCTATTAGTGTAGATTTGTGGGTGAAGGAATGTGAGGCAAATTAATTTAACCCTGTTTTATTTTACAAGAAACAGGGTCACCCAATGAAACATTTTAAGGATTATGATTTTTGTCTTATTATGATGAATGAAGTTCAGGCTGCTCTTTTGTGCCAATTTGGTAAAAATGTTATAGCTATTGATAGCACTCATGGACTCAATAACTAGGATTTTGAAATGACAACTATTATGGTTATTGATGATTTCAATAAAGGTTTTTTTGTGGATATTATTTTTAATAAAAAATATATCTAAATCAATGTAACTTTCTTCAACACAATAAAACAAAAGGTTGGTGTAATTAATTGTCAAAAATTTATGTTAGATACAACTGGGGTATTTTACAATGCTTGGATACAGATGATGGGTGTAACAGTGAATGACCTTTATTGTTCATGGCACATCGACAGTGCCTGGAAATTCAATTTAAGTAAAATTAATGTTAAAGATAAACGAGCGGTGCTTTATAAAACAATTTAGTATTTGCAAAAAACAATAATATCACTGTTACATTTCAAGAGCAATTATTACAAGCAGCTTTGATAATATGCTTCCGAAAAAATTGTGGTATTAATACAAATATGAAATTAGAAAGTATGCACAAAGTCATTATGTATTTTTATCTTAGTTATAAATGTGTAAAAAGACTGGATAAAGGTTTGCATGCTACGTTTAAATATGTTAGAGATAAAATTGTTGATACTAAAGAAAATAGAAGTATTAATAATAAATTAAATTTTAGAAGCCTCAGCAGTAGTTTCAAATTGTCTAAAGGACGAGAAGAGCTCTGAAACACGGCAATTTATACACAATAATTTTAAATATTCTGCAAAAAAATGTTGCAGCTTTGATTGCAAATTTTGTGAAATTATTATGTTCATGCACATATTTATTTTGTGGCATATAAAAAATATGGTAAAATAATTACTCCGTCAAAGGAAAATACAGAAAAAGTTAGCGTTAATCAGTGCATGTCCTTTAATAATAATTTAAATGTAAATTCCAATAAAAAAGAACATTTTGGAATAAATTTCCGATTTACAAATGTTAGTCCACAGTCAAGATGTTAACCAGCTAAGTGATAGCATTTTCAACAAACTGATTCAAATATAACATTACAAAAAATTTGTTGCAACTATTGTCAACTTCACAGAAAAATAATTTAAACAACGTCGTTCTCTACAAGAAAAAAAATAAGCCCAATTCCAATAATTATGAGTTAGCTATTATGATTTTATGTATCCCTCATGGCAATGCTGACGTAGAAAGAATATTTTCTAATATCACCGATATTAAAACCCAAAAAAGAAACAAGCTCTCAACTTCATTACTTGAAGCTGCACTTTACAAAAATATGTTGTCACGATTATACTTTTACAAAATATAATGTTAAAATATATCCTTTTAAAAACTAGTTTTAAAAGTAATATTAAGTTTTGTTTATAGTTTTTGTTCAATAAATATTTTTAAAACAAGGATAGTTTATTTTATATCTGCTCCTTGCCTTACCTAAGGGATTTTCTTGCGTTGAAATATACGAGGTATGACAATTACATTTTAAAACAGGCCCCCGTGCAGTGGCGGATCCAGGGGGGGGAGGGGGGGCTAGAGGGGCTATAGCCCCTCCCATTGGGACATGAGAAGATACTACTAAAAACCAAATTTAAAAATATTTACTTATTTACATAAATTACATTGCAAACATAATGTATTAAAATCGGATAAAAATCAATCACCCAATGTATTAGAAAAAAAATTGGCGGGTTTAAGAACACAAATGCAAATCGGCAACGCCTCAGAATTACTTTACCGATTATTCGACCGCGCAGGACCTAGCGGGAGATGCCTACTGACGCCCGCCCGGTCCAGCACTTCCAGTTGTGGTTTTGTGCAGTTGTGTAAGTTGTGTTGCCGTCAGGGATCCCAGATCTCACGATTTATCGTGAGATCTCACGATTCTGTACTAAATCTCACGATCTCACGATAATGCACCATATTCTCACGATATTTTCAAACTAGCTACTTGTAGTAATGAATTTTAAATTTTATTCGCCTTATTCTCACGATATTTTCAAACTAGCTACTTGCAGTAACGAACTTTAAATTTTTATGTTGGTAAAAATAAACTATTAGCTAATACGTTGGCTGAAACATGGCGGACGACTGGCACTTGACCTTGACAGTCTCGGGGGTGGTTCCCCAATTGCTGCATTTCAGGAATTGCGGGCTAGCAGCGGTAAATTACCTAACCCATTTCTATTATCGCATTTTGTGCATACGTAGTTTGAGTTAAGTTAGATATTTGTGTCCAATTTTAATAAAATAATGTCTACTAGTGAAAGTGATAGTAATCCCGAATATTCTGATGGCTCAGTTTATCCGTCCACTTCAACTTCAACTCCTCGGAAGAGAAAAAGACTTTCATATGGACAAAAATACAAGAATGAATGGGAAAAGGAGTTGACATGGCTGAGAGACAGCAAAAAAGGTCCCATGTTTGGATGGTAAGTTTTTTATTACCAATATTTGCAGGAAGAGTGTTTTAAGAGTTAAGCTGATTTTGCCGAAATTTTTAATTTAAAAAATAAAGAAAAATGTGTAAAAAAGTAGCTATTTGAGTATTGAGCGAAAAATTTTAGTTTGTCTCTGTCGAAAGCGGCAACGAACTTGTCGCTCAAAATGCACACAGGATTTTTTTACCATCACATTTTAGGAAAATGATAAAAAAATTGAAAATTTGTCGTAAGTAGTGTATAATGTGTTGCCTATACCTACGTTAATCATGAAAAAAAGCAGTTTATATTTAAAGTCCATGTTAACTTGAATAATATTACAAAAAAACATGTAACTAAGTACAAATAACTTGAAAATCATTTATTAAAAAAAAAATTATTATTCTTAATTCAAATTAGGCGAGCAACGAAACTGTCAATTTTGTTGTGCGGCTAGCGACTAAGCTGTCACTTATATCGATTTGAAAAATACCAGTTTTAAAAATATTTTTGGATGCCAGCCAAATAAAAATGTATATTTTTAAATTTCAGTTTTAGAATAGTTTGGCAATACTATATTCAACTTTATTTTTTTTAATAATACAGGGTTGCGAAGCAATTAATTTTTTCTGTATCTGTAATGTGTGGAGGGTGGGTACCCCCCTACGGCACTTAGGCCCCATTAGGTCCATTGTGCATCCTCCTAAGGTGATAGACACCTTTTAGCTCATGAGCTAGCCTTCAGATTTAATGTAGTTGACAACGTCGCCAAAAGATGTTTCTCTTGGACACCCTAAATTAAATTATCATAATTTAGATAGGTTTGCAATGATTTTAAATTTGTTTAAAATACAAAATTATAATATATTTTATACAGAGTGTTTTGAAACATGTCTTAAATATGGTTAATTTTAAGTTCAATTTACTCAATTTTTCAAACGCAACACACTATATATTATTTTAGCATAAAATTCCTAATAAATTTACCTATCCAACGATATTAACGTTAGCCAACAACAACACATATACAGGGTGTCCCACCAGTGCGTAATTGATCGATAGCTGTTTTATTATTGAAAATACAAAAAAAATAATACAAAAGTTTTATGACCAGATTTAACAATTATTCCTTAAGGGTGGTTCATAAACGAGACCAAACCTATACATTTTTAAAGCAAAACACGTTGCAGGTAGTTATACAGATTTGATTGTTTTCAAACAATTTTAATAGACTTCATTCATTTGCTATGTTGTATATAGGGTGAGTCAATTTTTAAATGAAATCCTTATATGTTATACCACCAATTAATTAATACTGTGATGAGCGGCTGAAACTTCAACAGAATGCAAACGTTCGTGAAAATCAGCCCTGTGTGGGGTAAGTAAAAAATTGCCTTTTATTAGAAATAAAAAACTTACAATTACCAATTTTCTGGCCGTTTTTAAAAAAAAGTAAGTTTTGACTTTTTTTAGGTGTAAAGCATGCACATGTGATGTTAAAGTCACTCATGGTAAAGGAGATCTTATTAAGCATGCAGAAACAGCAAAGCACAAAAAATCATGTCAAAGTTCTACTGGGCAGAGAGACATATTGGCAATGTTCAAGGGAAAAGATAAAGGAGAGAATATAGAAGCTATGGTAAAACAAGCCGA